ACAAAAGCCCCTTGGGACGATGAGATCACTCGACCAAGGATATGCTTAAGGCGCGAAGCCAGGCCTTCGAGAGAATTTTGTAAGAGGTATTAATCAAGCTAATGGGTCTTAAGACTTTAAGCTCTTCTGCTCCCTCCTTCTTAGGGATCATGGCAATGAAAGTGGCATTCATCGCCTTATGAATAGTGGCCCAGGAGTGAAATTCAGAAAAGAAAGTCATGATATCAGGCCTAAGGATACCCCAAAAAACTTCGAGGAGGCCTCTAGGGGAAGTCGTCAGGGTCGGGGTCCCGGTCTCCATCTAGGTCTTTAATGGCTTGGAATACTGCAGATTCTAGAAAAATAGAAGAGAAGGGAAGCCCACCATTACTGGCCTAGGACCAGAAGGGGAAGAGAAAAGCTTGGAAAAATATGCGACAGCTGCTGCACAATGAGATTGGGATGGTCAACAATCTGGTCCCCCACCTTGAAGTGGGTAATAGAGTTCTCCCTTCTTCAACAGTTGGCTATCCTTTGGAAGTAAGCTGTATTTTGGTCGCCAATCTTGAACCATTTGACTTTGGCTTGCTGAGCCTAATAAATTTCTTCTGTCTTTAAGAGGCACAGGTAATTATGTTTGTGGATAGATCGAGAATCCAACTCAGAATGGGAGAGAGGTCTAAGTTCTTCACTGGAGTCCCACTGTTGAATAGGCTTAAAAGGGAGTCTTTTTGGTATTGCAAGTTTCGAAGGAGCTGTGAACTCCACGATTTCAAAAAAACTTTAAGCATATGACGCTTTTTCTGCAAGATAACCCCCCCTTCAAGAGGGAGGATGACTCCCATTGGTTATGGACAAGAGAGGGGAAGCCCGGCTCTTGGAGCCAAGACAGCTCAAAGCAAAAAAGCTTAGGCCCTCGAGGAAGGGCATGGGTTTCCAGAAGGATAGGTCTATGATCCGAGGTGGGCTTAGGAAGCACCAGAGAGTTTGAGAGGGGTTAGAAATCTATCTAATTTTGATAGGCGTGGATTAGCTAAGTGACTTGACCAACTGAACTCTGCACCTTCGAACATGATGTCTACAAGACTGTTATGAACTAAGAAATCAGATAATTGTACCATTGAAAGGGTAGTTTTGTCGTGGGAATTGCGTTCGTGGGACCATCTGGTGATATTAAAATCACCTCCTATGCACCACTTTGAAGAAGGGAGGGTCATCAAAGACTGTACCTCTCTCAAAACGGCCAAGTTTTCTCGTTGTCTTCTTGTGGTCCATAGAGCACAAGGAACTTCCAATGGAGGAAATTTGTGATCCTAGCTAGGGTCACTGTGACAAAGAATTTGTCAATGTGAGAGGTAACTAAGGTGTGTTGAGATGGGTACCAGAGAACCCAGATACCGTCAGAAAGAGTTTGGATAGCTGAGGATCCGAGGGTATGGGGAGGACCTTAGCTGATGGTTCTCTTTCCTCGTACCTTACTTTGAAAAAGTGTTGCATAGCTCTTAGGATGCTCTCGAATTTGTGGCAGGAGCCTTACCTTTGACATTCTTCGTCTTATACTGGCATCAAGATTCGCTATCAGCTTTGATGAAGGCGTCAAACGCTTCATGTGGGCTGTAGAACAGGAAGCCCATCACTGAAAGGGTCTCGTGAGGATTGCCTTGGGCTTGGTCGATTGCGTCCACAGAGCTAGAGTTCATAGAGACCGGTGAAGAAGATTTTGAGGAATAGGAAGAAGAGGGGGGTGGTGGGGAAGAAAGATGCTTGTCACTAAGATTGTACCGTAGTAGAGAGGGTAGGGGACCTTCAAAAGGAGGAATGTGAAAAAAATGATAACCAGGGGGGAGTAGGAGGGTGAGGTGGAATTAAGGCTGAAGAGGTAGGCTGAGGGGTGGAATAGATGGCTAAGGATGGGCTTGATTGAGGGCTTGGGCATGAAGCCATTTGGTGAATAGGTTGGATAGGAGTCAACATCAATGCTTGATTAAGCTAGTTAAGAGTTATTATGGAATATTTATTTTATCAAGGGTAAAAATGTTATCACAAATTTTGTTTTAATCAGGACTTCTTTTTTTTCAATTAGAATTAGGATTCTTTGGATTTTAAGTAAAATCTTTTATTATAAATAGCGGTCATATTCAGGGTTTTGCTTTCAGACTTAGATATCATTTTGTTTAAAATCCTGGTTTCACCAGAGAGCTAGAAGCATGGATTGTAAGCTTCCTGTTATTTCAATCAATTAGGTCCTTGATGGCAGTTAGAGAGGTCAAGTTCATGGTTGTCGTGGTGACAAAGTTATATGTGAGGGAATAAAATGATCTAATGAGATATGAGGAAGTGGTATATAAGGGATATAAAAAAGGTCAAGTCAAAGGAGAGTTGAGGATCAGGTGGATGAGGTGAAGCCAAACCGCTCTGAATGATGTTTGGTTGTTAATGACAAAGGCAGTTTGTATCCAATTGCAGTTATAATTCACCTCATAACCAGAGGAGAGGTAATCTCGTTGTGCGAGCATAATTTTTTTTGCGGTCTTAAATAGACAGACCATAGAGAAACCCTTGTCTCATCAAATTATCACTGCACTTAGCAACTTGCTGCTGAACTGAGGCAATTTCAACGAGTGTAAACGGCTAAAATTTGGCAATTCTAGCATGTTTAAGTGGCTGAATCGAGCATATCACAATTACTCCATCAAACATACAACGACCATGTCCTTGAGTTGTTCTCATAACAGTTTACGTGCTCGTTGGTTGATTACAAAGCCCCAATTTTAATGCACAGTGGTGCAAAACCGACACCTAGAAAGGAGAGATCCGAGACCAATTCAACAACAACAACAACAACAACCTGTCGATCATGCCAGACGATCAACAAGAGGTAAACATCCTAGATCATCATCAAGAAAGGTAAAGGAACAACGACCTTTTCAGCCCTAACCACGTCACTACCCGAAGTAAGGCTGCACCTCTATACAAAGTAGGGGTTTTCTCTACTCACCAAAGTAGGAGGGAATGTTTTCCAATACCATATATCAAGATAACATCAATAACTGCGTATGTACAGTACATTTAAACCCACTTGTGGACCCTTGATATTGACCAAAATACCCCTAACAAAATAGTAAAATGACCAACCTACCCTTATACCCTATTCCCCATACAATTAAATCAGCATGCGTGAAACCTAGTTCCCATTTTGCAAGTCCCAATTCATATAACCAAATTCTCATGGGCTACCCTTTCATTAAATTGAGATACAATGTCAGTTTTCCTTATGAAAATAGTATCCCCCATATAACTAAAGTTCGTAGCAGAACCCTCTAAATCAATCCAATGTGATAAATATCCAATAATTTTAACAGTTGGTTGTGCATTTATGCCCAGGAAGGGCGAATGTTATTGTAAGCGCTGGTAGAAATGAACGAAATTCATCTACTTAGTCACAAACAAAGGAAAGAGGAATTGATCCTCAACCTTGGAAAAATGAAAAGGTGATAAATCCAAGGCAATTGAAATGCATGAAAATCATCTACTTAGTCACAAACAAAAGAAAGAACAACTGATCATCAACCAAGAAAAATGAAAAGACAATAAATCCAAGCCAATTTTAAAAACATGTACTATGTGCTAAGCCTCTTTAATTTGTGTATTCGTCTGTTGCAAGGCCTTTTACATTTTGACAAGCGTTACTATTAGGGGAGTTTTGAAAAAAAATAAATACACAATATATTTTTCTTAGATACTATTTAACTTGGGAATGTATGTGCACCTCTATCCTGATACCATCAATTCAAGACAACTAAATTTGATATGTATAAATTCCAAAGGATAATTCTGATTCAAATTAAATCTCCCAAAAGATGACCTATGTAAAATAAAATTTCTAACTTACCAGACTCGAATTTAGTTCCTAACCAGCAAATGTATTCCACCCATTACTTCTCCCTTTCCCTAAAATCTCTCCATTTTACATCCCAAGGGCTCGTCCTTTCAATCTGTCTTTTCCTCCCTCTCTATCTCTCTCTCAATATAATTAAAGTCCTATAGAAATCGATTTCAACCTAAGTCGCACCTACTCTTGTATATTCTGTCTCTTAGACATTGATACTGTCTCCCCTTTCCTAAACCTCACCCCAAAAGAAGAAGCTCTCATCTCACAAGTTTATCTATGCTATTACCAAGATTCTCTCTCTAAAGATAGCATTTTTTTGGCAAACTCCTATGAAAACATAGTTATACATAAATTCTCTCCCATTCTACATCATAGAGCACCTCTCTCTCTCTCTCTCTCCCCCCTTTTCTCAACCATTCCCCTTACCAAGATCCTCTCTCTCTCTTCACACGCACGCACACACACACAAAACCCAACAAAAACAGTGGTAAGATAGGAGTAACTATAGATGGTAACTACAGATGAGCCATCAGTTTTATGAAGTTTGATACTACCACTGTAATCTAGAAAATTTGGAAAGCCATCCGTAGTTTCTAAAGAACCAGCAGAACTAAGATGAGTTCTCAATAACTTGTTAAATACATTTTTCAGAAGGTAAATACAGTGGCAGATGAGTTGGCTAACTCGGAACCAGACGCATCTAGGGATAGCTCATAGCTCTATGAAGCCATAGTTCGTAGCCCTTTTTTCTCCATGGAGAAACATTCCGTATAGTTTAGTATCTCTATTGAAAGAAAGACCAATAAATGGCAGAGGCTTGTGAATTTTAAAAGGTACAACCCCTGAAAATTCACAGAGAATGTTGTCAGTCCTAGAGACTTAAACAAATACTACTCTAAAATTGATAGATATCACCCTTATGAGGTCTGATTTGAATAAGCAACAAGGAAGAATAAAGGTTCCATCTCTCATCTCAGCAAATAACATATCCACATAGAACAATTGAGCCCCATATTTGCATAAGTTCATATGTTGATGCTCTGTTTCTCATTGCATGCCACAAAAGACTTATAAAAGGGAATATTTCCTCAGGTAAATATGCATTATTGAGAAAAGTTTCATTCATCACCTAGTTTTACGTTTCATCTTCTACCAAAGGACTGAATATTTTTACTTTAAACCCCCTCGTTCAAGATGATAAGCCTTCTAACACAATATTGATGTCCATCAGCATGGCACACTCATGAGCACGCACATAATCCTACACATCCAATGGCAACAAACATTCATAATTCAAATGGTTTGGTCCAACAATACCATGGTTAGTGCATTATAATATTGAAGCATGCAAACTATCAATTCAGTTTAAATATTAAATATTAATTGCAACTGCAGTTCATCTTCATACACAAGGAAAGCAAGGAGACGAAAACTGACCCCCAGCCTCCATCTTTGGTGTAGAATTTGAAGCTTAGGGAAGCTGCCAGCGCTGCATTTTGCTAGACATTTACCAACATATGAGTAACCGAGCAAAACCAAAGCCGTGAGTTGGGGCAATGAGTCAAGGATGGCAAAGGGGTCTTGGGGGATAATGGAATGGGGTAGAGGATTACCATGGAATGAGTTTATGAGGAGCGGCTCTCATTCCTGAACGCACATGCAACATTCTAGGGAGTGGTAATCTGCCATCCTTCAGTGGTCTCCTGTCAAACTTGAACGAGCGAGATGTGCTCCACTTTGTAATGTTCTTCATTGCGCAGCCACTCCATAAACTCATCGTGTGTCGATGGAAGATCCAATGCTTGAAAGGTCGTGAGGTGTTGGAAGCCTTGAGGCAGCCGCGACATTCTCCATATTCTAGAAATTCGCAGTCAACAGAGGCATGGCATCGCTCCCTTCTCCAATCATATTCTAGAAATTCGCAGTCGACGGAGGCATGGCATCGCTGCCTTCTCCAATTCTTCCCTTCAATTTGAAAACCCAGAAACCAGAAGAAGGCCATGGAAGGCTACACTAAAATTCAGGCTTTAGCTCTACCAATCCTATCAAGTTTCAAGATGTAACCCTTTTTTGGGGCAGAATCGTCGACTGCTTACAAACCAATTGGAGCCAGGCCCCATTTTTTTATCTTTTTACATTCTAAGAAAAACACATTAAAATTTTTCTGCTTTTGTTGTTATACTGTTGGCTCTCATAGAAGTTTGGCTCGGCTTACATTAGCTTGGCTCGGCTTAAAACATCTCGGCTCATTTTTCTCAAATCCGAATCGTACAGACAGCGATTCCTAGATTCCGAAACTTCTGATACATGTGATCCTAATTCCAAAAACGATTCGAAATCACAGATGTTTCCAACAACTATAGATGGGAATATCTTGGACATCGATCCAAAACCTAGACTAGGACCAAAATCATTAGGCTCCAAGGTTTGAGGAGCAATTTGGCTTTCCTAAAGAAGAGATTCTCAATAGCAAGCTCTATCTCACAACTCTTTAGAGGAAAAGGAGAAAATATGAGTACCATTGGAGAGAGGATGTCCAGTAATAAGCTCAGATTTCCAAATGGACTAGGCCCATTTGAGGATGTTCTCACATTCACATCTAGGAGGTTTGAACTCAGCTATAAAGAAGCTTTTAAGGTGATCTAGTCTCGCCTGAAAGAAACTACCCTGCAAGTGAATATGCCCTAGACCTCTAGCTCCCACGAGAAAGAGAGAGTAGCAAGAATGGATAAGGTTGAACTTCTGAATTGTAGGGTTCGATTGGGAATCATAGGTAGCCTTTATTGAGCAAAACGTTTTGTTAGAGTTAAGAGGAAGGGGTTGAACTTACGGTTGTTCTAAGATCAGAGAAGAGAATCGAGGTTACAGGGGGCCGTTAGATTGAGGCTTAATTAGGTATATGAATGTGTACAGGTGGAGGAGGTATAGAAGTAGCTTGGTTTGCATAGCTTCTGGTTCTAGTGTTGAAGGGTGAAGGCTTGCTTAATTGGGCAGTGATAAGTTTGGTAGGTGGTTGGGGTGCCCATAATAATGGTGTTGAAGAGGGAGAGAAAGGTGGGAGGCACATGAGCGACCCCCCCCCTCCAAAAAAAAAGCAAAAAAAAAAAAATACCCTAAAGGCGACTAGAGGAAGAAAGATGAAAGGCTCCAATAATGGGAAAGAGGTGAACAACTTACCTTGGAGGATGAAGCAGATATCCAGCCAGGTGGAGCTTAAAGGAAAATTCCATGGGCAAATCTTCTCCAGTTCTTCGTCCCCTTATGGCATGCATTTCAACATGATGATGAAGTTCTCTTTTTTCATAAGGCCATATATTGCTTAAACCATTTTTCACTTGAGCAATGAACCTTGAGTATCCCAAATGGAAAGGTGCACCAGTGGTTGCAAATACATATTGAGATCCATCCTCGACATTCTTAATGTTCTCTACCCAATAACATCAGTTCATCGTTAGCCTTCCTGTTTACATTTAGATAATGAGATATATAAAGTAGCGACAATTTCATTGAACTCCCACTTTGATTTGGTAAGAATGGTTCAAAACAAAGACTAGGGTTAGTCCATGGCTGAGTTCAGAAACTTGGACTCGATCAATGTTGGGTTTCTGTGTCCATTAAAGGCCTTATGAAAGCTTGTAACTAACATCCTGATATAGTGAAACATAAACTCAGTTGGAGTGTGGTCCTTTGTGGACCATAATAAAAAAATGTTATTTGTCGATACTCAGGCTTAGGTTGACATGCTAAGCCAGTCAAGTTGGAAAATCCAAGTTACTTGGGCATGGAATTAAACCGATGAGGGTTTGATGGGTCATCCCTTGATGAGGTCGAAGTTGCCCAGATGTGTGAGCAGAGGGACAGTGTGACCTTTGTGTGTGATGGTTGGCCTCTACAGATGAAGGTCAAAGCCTTCTCATTGAACTATTACACGACATGTACATATGATAGCCATATCGAGAAAGTAAACCACCTTTGAGGGTGAAGCGTGTATATGTGCAAGAGATTACCCCTATACACCATAGAGTTGTAGTTGCATCAGGTCTAAATGACCTTGGTTGGTCTCTAAGGGAGAAGCTGTAGTCCATAGACTGGGATTGCGTCCCCTTGCCTATGGCTGACTTTGGTAGCCCAATCATGAACCCCTGCAGTAGAAGATGAAGTGCTTCATCAATTTTATAATTCCTAGAACTATACGGATCCAATTCCCATCAAAATTATTTGTTTTTAATTATTTTGATGATATATGATTTTTAAATTGATTATTTGAAGTTTTTGTCAATATCTGGATATTTTATTTTTACAAATTAGATTTATAAATCCAGAGATATTCATTTTTCAGTATTTAAATATTCAAGAGAAAATAAAGTTTATTTCCAATCTTTTAAGAATCAATATATGAATTTTATAAATCACTAATCATATGGGGGCCCACCATAGAACATGGGCCAACCTTAAATTAATCACATGATAAAATAGAGTGGGGCCCACATGAGGCCACTTAGGGTGGCACGCCCCACTCAAGGCAACTAACACTTTCTAAAAATTGTGTAAGCCACCATAAAATAGAATGGGAAGGGTGCTAAATCTAGGAACTAACACTCAAGGTAAAACAATGTTCGGGAGATATGACACTCTTTGTGAAGGGTGCTAAATCTGGGAACTACATAAAATAGAAGAAACAGAATACATGTAAGACGTATCTTGGTTTCTCTTCGTATTGAAGGGGTATGTAAAGGGGACTTGGGGGGCAGAATAGGAACTCTAAAGATTAGTAGGAGAATCAAAATTGTGATTTATGGAATTATGGGATGAAGAAGAGTACTTCTTTTTGGTAACCATCCTCTCGATAATGTCCAGTGATAGTTGTGTTTTGTATGTGATAAAAATCTCATGTTAAAGACTCCAAATATTTGGCAAGAAAAATAAGAGTATTTTGCATAGTTGTCAGGTTTTTGATAAACACATTTTCAGTTGTGTTTCATTATAGATAAAAATCATAGATGGACTTTATGATTTGTTTTGTGGCTATAACATGACTTGGTAAGTAATTAAAAGTGTACGTGGCAAAATGTTTTTTTAAAGGCTAAGTATGTTCTTTTGAAAATCGGATTGGACTTTTTATATTGAAAAACCTAGATCTATGGATATGGTTTTGAGAAAACGCCATACTCTTGCTAGGTCTACTAAGTATTTATGAAAATCATTTTAAACCACCATGCTATTTTCTAACTATTGCATGTTAAAATATACCAAGTCGAGTTTTTTTATATAAGGAAAAACATCGAGCTTTGAATGTATTTTATGTACATATGAGAAAGAATCATTTATCTATGCATTGTTTTTAAATACCCATGTCTTGACTCATGTTTCATAGTACTGATTATGTGACCTGTTTTTGAGTTCTTTAGAATCCTTGATTACCTAAGACCATGAACCGTAGGGTATATCATAGGATTGTCATCTTGCTAGGCTTCTTTGACACATATTGTGTTGTTAAGAAAACTTGGTTTTTATGGATTTACAACCAACAGACTGGTGTGGTTGAACCTTTGTGGTTCAGAAAAATGGTTTTTGCATTTTGTGAAACCAAATGGGTATTGAGTTACTATTTGGTATAAGACTTGCTATATTACCCCATGACACATACATGAGAATGCTGAGATAACATATATTTTTTGTGTTTTGTTTGAGTGGGAGCTGTTAACAATCCCAGGATTACTTTTAGCTGCTTGGATATTTAGATATACATGTATCCTATTATGAAAGATCCAAATAGCTTAACATTCTAGTGGGAGAACCTGCTTGTGTTTGGCGGGCCAGCTAGAACAACACACTATAATGTTGTTCACCCATAGAACCCGGATATGTGGTGCTAGTAGTAGGGTTACAAAAGGGAGCAGCATGATTGAAGAACTCCCTTGAGTTGCTGAGATACGAACCCATGCGATGAGGATACATGATGATCTTCAACGACAAGAAGTCTTTGATTCACGATACGACATGAAAAGATGGACTACGACCACGTTCGAGATGTGATCCGAGCAAAAAGAGAAAGAGGCTTCATGACTCCCTCAGAAGCTGCATTCATAAATCCTTTGTGAAATGATTGATGGCAAAAGAGTTCACTAGGGTTAATGTAATGAGAGAGAATAAACGATAAATTATTGATAGAGAGATTGTAATTGAGGGATGAGCATTTGAGGAAGAAAATTTGTATAGTATTCAAAGGCCAAGGGAGAGACATTGAGTTTCTGTGGCTATTAAAGGCCTTATGAGAGCGTGTAACTAACATCCTGATGTAGTGGAACATAAACTCAACGGGAGTGTGCTCCTTTATGGATCATAATACGCAAATGCTATATGCCGATACTCAAACTTGCATGATGTGCTAGGCCAGTCGATTTGGAAAACCCAAGTTACCTGGGCATGGAATTAAACTGATGAGGGTTTGATGGGTCATCCCTTGATCAGGTCGGAGTTGCCCAGATGTGTGAGCCGAAGGACTGTGTGATCCTTGTGTGTGATGGTTGGCCTCTAAAGACGAGGGCCAAAGCTTCATCACTGAACCATCACACGACATGTACATATAATAGCCATATTGGGAAAGCAAATCACCTTTGAGGGTGAAGTGTGTAAATGTGCGAGAGATTACCCCTATGCACCATAGAGTTGTGGTTGCATCAGATCTAAGTGACATTGATTAGTCTCTAGGGGAGAACCTATAGTCCATAGATTGGGATTGTGTCTCCTTGCCTATTGGCTAATTTTGATAGCCCAATCATGAACCCCTGCAGTGGTCCATGAGTCATGGGTATTGCTGGGTCAGTTTGAGAAAGCAAGTGCGGATTATAGTCCACAGTAGAAGATGAAGTGCTTCAGGAATTTTATATTTCTAGACCTATGCAGATCTGATTCCCAACACAATTATTTGGTTTTAATTATTTTGATGATATATGATTCTTAGATTGATTATTTGAATTTTTTGTGAATCTTCAGATATATTAGATTTATAAATCCAAAGATATTCATTTTTCAATATTTAAATATTCAAGAGAAAATAAATTTTATTTTCAATCTTCTAATAATCAATATACGAATTTTATAAATCACTAATCATATCGGGGCCCACCATGGAACATGGGCCACCTTAAATTAATCACATGGTAAAATAGATTGGGGCCCACATGAGGCCACTTAGGGTAGCACGCCCCACTCAAGGAAACTAACATTTTCTAAAAGTTGTGTAAGCCTCCATGACTTGGAAATCTAGTTGATGATTTTTTTGGAAGTTTTGTGATTTGAGAAGTTTTGACTATTCAAAGATGGTATGAATAAATGATATTATCCGTAAGATGTATATGCAACAAATGTCAGAACAAAAACTTGTGAAATGATCATTGTTGCCCAATGAATATAGAATACATAGTTATCAATATTTTTTTATTCAAATTTAAGAAAAATTGTCAGGGTACAATACCCAAGATTATACAAGCTCAGAAATAATAATGTTCTTAACCTTTTGCATTTTTGTAAAAAAATTCTCATCCAAAAGATACATTTCTTCAAAAGTAAAACCTTTATAAAATCTTTTACCCTATCGAAACTAAAAAATCAAAGATAGTCCCCCTCCATCTATGCTCATTCCCATGTCAAAGATAGTCCCCTTCCATCTACGCTAATTCCCATGTCCCTAACAACCCATAGTGCAGGAATGAACTAAGTCGAGATTAAAGCTACATACCTGCTATTAACAAGAAAGTCAGTCTACATCATCCTCTATGTAGAATGACATTTGATTTGGATACCACCTTTATGTTTCCAAATCAGCCTTATTCTAAATGAGAATGACATCTGATTTGGATAAGTAACAAGGAAGAATAAAGGTTCCATCTCTATCTCAGAAAATAACACATCCACATAGTACCAGTGAGCCCTATATTTGCACACGTTCACATGATGATGCTCCATTTCTCATTGCATGACTAAAAATAATTATAAAAGTAACTTTCTCAAAAAAAAAAGAATGATAAAAAGGAATATATCCTAAGGTAAATATGCATTACTGAGAAAAACTTCATGCATCTCCTAGTTTTATGTTTCATCTTCTTCCAAAAGACTGACTATTTTCACTTTAAACTACCTTGTTTAATCTGATAAGCCTTCTAACACATATTGACGTCCAACAGCAAGCCACTCTCATGAGCATGCCTACTCATCCCATGGCAACAAAAGTTCATAACTTCACATGGTTTGGTCCAGCAATATCATGGTTAGTGCATTACAATATTGAAGCATGCAAAGTATCCGTTCTATTTAAACACTAAATATTAACTGCAGCTCATCTTCATTTCACAGGGAAAGCAAGGAGACGAGAACTAACCTCAATCCTCCAACTTCACCGTAGAACTTCAGACACTATTTCATGAACCAGAAGTTTCAAAATCAGTTGTCCTGCTGCGCAACAAGGTGAGGTCCTACAAGCCCAATGGGATATAAAAAACCATTAATTAACATTAATGAAAAAGTTCAAGTTATAATGGTGTCTATTTGAAGCAGTCATTCCAGGAGAATTAACGAGATATTTGGTCTTGATTTATAGTTCCATATTTTTTATTTTTTTTTCACTGATCTGTTTTTTACGTAAATGGGTGTTTTCTTCATGTTTGTAGTAGTATCAAAGAACCATGCACAAAAAATAACTGCACCAAATCGACGACATAATGCCCAAAAAATGGACCAACATTCTGATACTAAAAGTGATCGATTGAAGGCTCCCTCCCCATTAGAAGCTCGCTTCACTATTCCACTAATTGCATTTTCAACGGAAAGAGTCCATTTAGCAGTTTCCATTAAAATATAGGAAAAGAACAGAAATCCAATACTCCAAGTATAAGAAGCACAAACGAAATGAGATACAAAATATAAAGTATTACAAAAGCTCTATTAGGGCAAACGTCAAACATGTACAGGTAATATGAAGAACAATGTGCTTCATATGTCATGAGTGCATCGAAAGACGAATAAATTGCCTTTAAAAGCCTTGCCACTTGGTTTTTGGATTTCAGCTCTCACATATTCCTGTTTAGTTACTCATATTTTTGCACACCTGGGAGTGTGGCTCTAATTGAGCGAAAGACACCATTAGAGTGATGGGTGCCACATCCATAGGCGAAAGATGTTGTGTGAGGAAGGCTCTATGGATGACAGAGGTCATGTGATATGTGTTACTTGGAAGAAAAAGATCATCACAGAAAGTGCACTCTAATTGGATGAAGAAGGCCATTAGAGTAGGGCCTTACTAGGATGAAACAAGCTACTAAAGCTAGTTGGAGCTGATTCTATCTAGGACATAGGGGGCTCCATCACTCTCGCCTTGACTTGGAGGGTTGGCCCACAACTAGGCTGGATGTGCATACTTGCACAGTCCTTGTAATATGCGCTGCCAAAGAGGCACATAAGATATACCGACATGCTACAAAAACATATGTGGATAATAATCTGAATTAAATGAATTCTCAAAATCCCATGACTTCACACATGCCAAAAATGACACATATGAGCAAGAAAAAAACATGTGACTTAAATCAAACTGAAGTCATAACAATATATAACACTTTAAATAACAAGATAACATGTTATAACATAATACCAACAAAAGGATTAATGACAAATAGGTGCCCACATGGATATGATGTCAGCATGATGTCATCCACAAGTGGAGAGGTGGGGGTGCCACGTGGCATCCATGTGGCATCCCCATAGGATGTCCTTGTTTGGTATTTATGTCAAACAAATTTGAAAATCACATTTTTTATTGTTTAAAAAATTTGAAAAATTCTCCAAAAATCCCAAAAAAAATTTCTAAATGATTTCTCAACATTATTACACAATTTCTCATCAATATAAAATATTTTCTCATCAGTTTAGATTAATTCACTAGTCGGAGTCTTCCATTGAGCTAACCCAAATGACATTCCACTGGTGTCTCAAGCCGACCCAATGGACCTATGCTCACAGTCTATGGTATGCTCACAGTCTATGCTCAAAGTTGTTGAGCCAGAGCTACCCGTCACCGAGGGTTCAATGGATTACTGGTGCACCCCTGCGGGGCATGTTCTTATTCAAATACAGGGGTCTTCTCAAAGCATATGTGCACTAGCTCTTCTAAGTCGGATAATACTATAGAAAAGTGGCTTCCCCAAATGACCGTGGGTGCACATGCCATGGAAAGGTCTCGTGTTAGGATATGAGCTCATGTCCTATGAGCCGACCATTCCATACAGGGCGATTATTCTTTTAAATACTCGGTTCTATTATTCTCGATTGGATTCTCGAAACCCTAGCTTATCACCTAAACTATGAGGCATTTTAATCAATATAGTTACGATTGGGAGGTGACCCTCACACCTCCCCGAGAGTTCACACTCTCAAAACGTATACTCTCAATGCCTCAAATACTCAAGGTATATGAATCTGGGCCTCAGTGCGCCAAGCATCCAGATTCAGTCTCTCTCTAACTCCCACTGAACGTAAGACTATTAGCTTTAAGGCCTTCAAAGGCCACGTAACCAACAATAACATAGTCTCGTATGGAATGAGAAGCCTAAATAGAACTTTGAGAATTGATATTATCTAAAGTGGTAAGATAGGAGTAACTGCAGATGAGCCATCAGTTTTATAAAGTTCGATACTGCCACTGTGATCTAGAAAATTTGGAAAGCCATCAATAGTTTTAAAAGAACTAACAGAACTAAGACCAGTTCTCAATAACTTGTTAAATACATTTTTCAAAAGATATGGCTGATGAGTTGGCTAACTCGGAATCAGATGCATTTAGGAATAAGTCAGCTATATGAAACCATAGTTCGTAGTCCGTTTTTCTCCATGAAGAAACATTCCATATAGTCAAGTATCTTTATTAACAAATATATATATATATATATATATAAAACCACTAAATGGCAAAAGCTTGTCAATTAAAAAAGGTACAATCCTTGAAAGTTCACAGATATATTGCTAGTCTAGAAACTTAACAAATACTACTCTGAAATTGATAGATACCATACTTATGTTTCTAAACCAACCCAATTCTAAATGACAATTACAACTGATTTGGATAAAAAACAAGGAAGAAAAAAGGTTCCATCTCCCATCTCAGAAAATAACATATCCTCTTAATACCAGTGAGCCCTATATTTGAACAAGTTCACATGTTGATGCTCCATTTCTCATTGCATGCCAGAAAAGAATTATAAAAAGAGAATATATCCTAAGGTAAATATGCATTACTGAGAAAAGCTTCACGCATCTCCTAGTTTTATGTTTCATCTTCTTCCAAAAGACTTGACTATTTTCACTTTAGACTCCCTTGTTTAAGTTGATAAGCCTTCTCACACATAATGACGTCCAGCAGCAAGCCACACTCATGAGCATGCATATAACCTTACACATCCCATAGCAACAAATGTTCATAACTTCACATGGTTTGGTCCAGCAATACCATGGTTAGTGCATTAGAATATTGAGCATACAAAGCCTCTGTGCCTAAAAGCCTCTGCATGGCATCCTACGCAGCACGCAAGCATGACAATGACATTGGACCAAAATGGGAAAGAGAGGCGTACTTGGTTCTTCGTTTGCATGTAGTTGGACTCCCCTTGCCCTGAAGAAAGAGATCAGGACACTCCTATGCAGTTCTTGATCTTTGTGACCACAAACTTGTCTTTGTCAATGTACTTGGATAAAACCCTTTCTCAAACTCATCAAAAAGCTTCCTCATCGCTTTAAGTTTACCACCTTTACAAAGCCAATATATGAGAGTACTATATATAGCATTATCGGGGTGCATTTCCTCTTTAAGAGCTTCTTCCATAGCATACAAGCCTCATCAACCTTGCCTTCTTGACAAATAAGATAAAAAAATTTGCAACACGGGGTTGGGCATGGTATAAACTTCTTCTCAAGCATTTCATTCAAAAGGCTTAAAGCCTCGCTTGGTCACCCCTCTTTATGGTAAGATTTAATAACTACGCCATACGTGACATCATTTGGAAGAACCCAATTGTCCTCCATGTCACTATGAGCTTAACAGCCTCCATTAATTTCCCAAACTCTGCTTATAATCTCATCCAAAAATCCTTTTTACGCCACAAAATCCACTCATAACTGCAAGTCACAGCTTACAGAGTTAAGAGTATTTACAAAAAAAAACCTAGCTTGGCATCTCCTCCAAAACCTAGAAAGCTGATTTCAAATCGTTCATTTAACACATGGCCTTAATTAGGATATTGCAGGTAAAAACAATTGGAAATATCCCAAATTTTCTTCAATTCCTATACAATACATATAATTAACCAAATAAAGCCTTTTGGTCTGAATAATTGCATTCAAAAGAGTATTAAAAGATCTGAATAATTGCATTCAAAAGAGTATTAAAAGACCTAACTTGCTTATCCCAAACTCATTCATCTTGAAAAAGGACTGAAGGGCCAACTTGGGCTTGTTTGCAAAGTCATAGTTTGGAATAACATATATGAATGTTACTTCACTGAAAAAATTCTGGAATCCTTTAACTCTTTGAGTATAATTTCCATGGAATTCAAATCCCTAGGCATGGCTAATTTCTCTATGATCGTATGATAAGTATCAGGATTATGAAAGAAATTGGGGTGATATTTAACAGCATGGTCAAAGAAATGTAAAGATCGGTCTACATTTTGTTATTGATTGATCATGTTTATGAGCCTCTTGGGTGAGAGTTTTAGATGCTAGTGAGTGAGAGGTGAGAATACGGGGAATGGCAGCATAAATGAGATTGCAGTGAAAAAGTTTTGAGTTGTGGTGGCACTTGTGGGTGCGTGCCATCGACAAAAAGAGTTTTTGATTCCTACGGAGGATCCGGATGACATGCACTAGTGATTGTAGGAAAGAGCAGTAGGTCCTAGTGATTGAAATTGAAAGCTTCGGGTATCGTGTGTCTACCTTCTGGATGGGTTTGTTTTGGCTAAACACTGCCTCATTATCATGTCAGATTGGTCACTGAACAATTTATTAAAAATTTGTTTTTTAGTACCATGAAAAAAGGTATCGTCTTTCGGTTGATAAATTTCTACTGGAAATGCAATTTCATGTGTAGTCTTGAAAAAGAGAAAAGAAGTTAGTAAAACTTGGTCCCCATGATCGGAATAGATACATAGAATATGATAACATAATAGGGAATCTTTGATGAAAATGAAAGCATTTAGATGTGTGCTGAAAATTCTGTGGAAAACTCTGATGAATACTTCAAATGTATTAGCCTAAGAAATGCATGAAAAATCATGGGGTGCACGTGCAAAATGCTTGGCAAGCTTGGAGGAGATATTGGAGATACACAGGTAAGTGTGGAAATGCTTGGTAGTGCTGAGAGGTGACATGACGGCGATGCATTCCATTTAATTTTGTGCGGCAGAATCATGCTGGTTTCTGAAACATT